CAATCCCTGGTTCCACAAAAAAAAAAAAAAAAAAAAAAAAAAACAAAAAAAAAACAACGAAAACAAAAACAAAAAACCAATATGTAAAATAACAGACCCATGCAGCTGGGAGAACATGTAGAGGGGCATGGGAGGTGATTATGCACACATAATTTCTCTAGTGTATGAATATGAATTGCCTACATCTAGTATGTTATCATATGAAAGCAATAAAAATATGTATTTTCATATTATGCACAGAAAAGTAGAAGGGAAAAATAAATCTACCCATCCTGCGACTGATAATCACCATTAATATTTTGAGACACACTTAACTCTTTCCTTATACACAAACATCTGTATTAAACAAACAAAAAATTTAATCACTTTTAGAAACTTCGTTAAGCTACATATCTTAAAATCAAGAAGATGCCCAAGAAAGTTGGTAAATAAAACAAGACAACAATGTCAATGATCTAATACAATCTTTGTTTTCCTTAAGAGCAAACAGCAGTAGTAAGACAGATGAGGAGGGATAGAGGGAGCCGTCAGCAGAGGTGCAGCCCAAGCGCACATGAGAGGAGGACTTCAGACACGAGCCACCTCAAGCAGTCCTGTCCCTGCAGGGCTGTCTGCACCAGGCCGCCTTGTCACCTACTGTTCCCCTGCGACCCCTTCCTGCAAACAGCCTTCTGTTCCAGTTCCACAGCATTCATTAGGGGACTTTACATTCATTCAGACTTCTCATTTTTGTGGGCTTATCTTTTCTATGCACTAGGTAGTCTCTTCTAAAAGTTCATTTTCTCCTTATAAGACTCTCTTTAAACTTTTATGGGGGTGCTCCATGTTTCTGCCTCCTCCTTACACATCTAACATTTAAGCAGGGACAGTGAAAGTAAGAGCCATGATGCCCCATCCACATCTCAGAGCCAGTATATACGAATGTAGCCAAGTCCACTGCAGGACCAGCTTTTGGTGTGAAGGCAGAAGGAATGTGAATTTTATTAATTATAGAGTAAGACAAGAGAACAAAAGCTGCCATTTCTTCCCCTAAGATGGCACAGTTTTGAGACTTAATTTTGCTTACAAAGAGAGTATGTACAAAACAGTTCCTTCTAAGTTAGGGTCTTCTCTCTCTCTCTCTTTTTTTGTATTTTAGGGAAGGGTCTACAGGGTGTTCAGGGTCTCACTACTAGATCTGACTCATAGTGATCCGCCTGTTTACAGCCTCCCAAGAGCTGGGATTATAGGTGCGCCCCAGGGGCAGGGCCGGCACGGCAGGCCTTGAGACCCAACCTCTGGCCCCTGTGCCTGCTTGCAGGTGCTTTAATCCACTGAGCTACTTGGTCAGCCCTGGAGACAGGGTCTTGATACCCAGTTCAGGCTGACCTTGAGTTCACTTTGTGGCCCACTATGGTCTCAAACCCCCCATGATCCTCGTGCTGGGATTACAGGTGTGTGCCACACCTGGCAGTTCCTTCTAATTCTGGTAACCTCAGAAACTGAGCCAACAATTTCTAATATAAAAGCAAATAGTGGGAGGTATATATTTGCAATAGTTAATAGAAGGCAATACTCTAGGAAGAGAAGAGAGAGATAAAGGAGCAAGAAGTATCTGTCATGGTTCTAGGAGTGTACACATCTGTGCTGACACATTTTATCTAGGTTAAACGTAAGTGTCTCTGGAACCATGATCTTCACCCTGAAGAGATCACCAACCTGCCTTACTGAACTTTACCCTCTCAAAACAGAGATGGAGAAATTTCTCTAAGTTAATAAAACATTTATGAGTTTGACTGAAACACAAATATAGGCTGATTATATATAACTAAGAGTACAATCTGAACTTTCTAGATAAAAAATAAGCCATTACCTGTCTGATCCTAATAAGCGAAAAACTCTTGTTTCATCTGAAATCTCCTGGGTGACCTATAAAAGAAAATACCTATCAGTAACCTTTTAGTTCCCATCTTACTTTAATAATTTAACAATTACTTAGAGCAGTTATTAAACACAGTGAACAATTTTTGACAAGTGAAATAAATTTCAGTGTTTCTCTGCTGACACTGGTACAAATTAATCAGCACTCATGGACACGTGGTATAGGCTAGGCACTTGCTTTCCTTGTATGAACAATGTGCGACAGATACGGTTTGTAATCCTCTTATTATTGAAGAAGAATCTTTAAGGATCAGAGAGGTTAAGCAACTTGCTCAAAGTCCTATGACGGGCAGACCCAAGATTTGCCTCCTCCTTCATTTCTCAATGCAGATGTCGGCGGTGGCAGCCTGCACAGCTGTGTGGACACGTCCAGACACCACTTTTTTTTTTTTTTGGCGGAACCAGGGATTGAACTCAGATCCTTGCATTTGCCAGTCAAGCGCTTATCCTACTGAGCCATCTCCCCGGCCCCCAGACACCACTTTTGCACATCACTGTATGCTACAGCATTCTATTCCTCAGACATGCACAAGTACAAAATCAGAGTGGAGACTTTGGGGCAACTTTAACCAAGATAGGAGAGTACCCGGTGTATGAACACTCAATTCCTCTGTCACTTTTTAGTGCTTCTGCTGGACTAAGCTCTGGCTATCCATAGTGGGAACTAGCTTATGAATATGCTTTTTATTGACTTTTTTTGGTTCTGAGGGTTGAACCCAGGGACTTCACACTGAGTAACATCCCCAGCCCTTTTTTTTTTTTTGAGATAGGGCTTTGATAAACCACTTAATTGCCCATACTGGGCTTTGACTCATGGGTCTTCCTGTCTTAGCTTCCACAGTGCTGAGATTAATAGGTGTGTGCCTCCACACCTAGCTTTTACTGACTATTTTGCCCCTCTTTATTTTACATTCCATATCTCATCACTATATTTTAAAATCTATTCCCCAATAATTTAACTGTACCTGAGCCTTTATTATGGCGGACATCAAGTATGCATAAGATTAGTCTGTTAACATGGAGTTTGCAGTTTAGCTGGGAAAGTGAGTCAGGAAACAAGTTAGGTGCATGGAGCTAATTTCACAGCGTGAGTCCAGAGATGCTCTGATCATTGTACACTGGAGTGGCTGAATGCCACTTTATGAAGGACATTAAGGCGACAACGAGACCCAAATTGAAAGAAGAGAACATAAATAGAAAGAAGGAAGCAAGATACAACAGGAGTAGGCAGTTAGGGGGCTGGGGATGTAGCTTAGTGGCAGAGTGCTAGACTAGCAGGTGAGAGGCCTTAGGTTAGATCCTGAGACCCCCCCCCCCAGAGATAGTTAGGAAATCAGATTTTGTTATTTGATAAGACGAGAAACAGATAATGTTTAGATTTCTAACCACAGGAATGAAGTAATGAGAGAGTCTTTAAGGATAATCTCACAGAAGTGGGACTTACACACTTGATCAAATACAAGGACCTGGTGACATTTGGTGGTACAGGCCACTAGGTGGACTGAGATATGCAGACAGTTTATACAATTTTGTTCCTGGAAGCATTCTAATTCTCCATACATACAGTATTTACTTTTATATAAACTAGAGTGTGGATAAAATAAAACTGAAATTCAAATAAAAGAAGATTCTGAACTTTAAGGTAAGTCCACAAATTTGTGAGGTTGTACTTTAGAAAACCACACAAATGGAAAATGTCTATTACAGCAGGATTCATTCCCTAACATGGAAACCCCAAAACTTTCTCCTTCATGAAACGTATCATCTCAGCTTCAAGTGACTTTTAGAGATCCTTTAAATCTATGCTCTGCCTCTTAACTACTTATGTGATTGTGGACATGCTACTTAACTACTCTCTATTTGTAAAAGAAGAATATAAATAATATCTATTTCATGGGTTACTTTGGGCCTCAAATGAATTAATGTTTAGTCAAGAGGAAGGGTGTCTGGGGGGAGAAGAATGTAAGGGCAAGTAACGGGTGGGAAAGATATAAGCAAAATACTGCTTAGGTGCAGGGACTAGGGTTCAATCCTTGGTGTGCCATGCCCCCCCCCCCCCCCCGCTGGGGTGCGCGGAGACTGTGACTGAGACAGGGAGTGGTGGCACATGCCTGTAATCCCAGTGCTTGGGAAGCTGAAAACGGGAGGATCACTATGAGTCAGATCAGTGTAGTGAGACCCTGTACTAAATACATTAAAAAAGTATATATATATACATATATATATGCATATATATGCAAATATATGCATTGAAATCCTCTAAAATATATGAAATTGGAGGCAAGGGGTAAAAATGATCAAAGTATGTCAGGTTCTTGTATGAATCTGCCAAAATAAAACCCATTAATCTGTATAAATAATAAAAATAGTGAAAAACAAAAGCTAGTATTTGTAAAGTGCCTGGAACATATCAGGCATTATATAAGATTTCCAACAAGTATCTTCAGTGTACTGGTAGTTGACACTTCCTAAGTAAGTTAATTTCCTTTAGTCCCATAATCTACTATGTATTAATTTATAATTTAAAATACTTAAAAAGCTATATATTTATAATTCTGGGGTTTTTTTGGGCAGAACTAGGGATTGAACTCAGGCCCTTCCAGGCAAGCACTTCATCTACTGAGCCATCTTCCCAGCCCCGAAGCTATGTGTTTATAGATTATATTCATTAAATACAAAAATTCAGCAAGGCTAGCAATCATACTTACAAAATACATATTAGATGAAAGAAATTGTGTAAGCTTGTATTATTTTATAATTCCTTATAGCCACTGAGAATTTTACAATACAATATAAAAGTGAACATATTTAAAGATGACACAGTTGTACTTTACCAGTTCATATTACTAAGGGCTCTAGAAACAGTAATGTGGGTTCAGAGGGAAATGCGTCGAATGAATGCTTTTAACACTATCCTTAGTGGGAGTCAGGGAAGGTAATCTGAGGCTAGAAACTTACCTCATCTGACTTGAAGCTTTTACCCTGCATTCCGTGTTTCCAGAAAGCAAGCACACTGTCTTGAAGGCAGACTAAAAGAGATAAGGGAGAACTGAAACTAAAACAGAGCACGGAGCATTTCACTCTTAATTTCCCTTAACTGTTTTTAACAAATAATAACTTAAGGCTCTTTAAGTGCTTAGGGCAAAATTCCACTGTCTAGACCATTATTTCTCAACATTTTTGTGGCTAAGACATGTCTAAACTCAAGTAATTTATTGAGGCAGGGTTATGCAAGCTTTCGGATATATATATATATATCAGGCATCCATTTAAATATAGGCTAACTTCTGATGAGCTAGATACCAGCATATTAATTTCCCTTTCGCATGCTGTATCCTTTGTCTGAAATTTTAAAAAAAGCTATTAAGCAAAAATCTTTTATGTCCATTTTCCCTATCACAGAACAATTTTTTAAAAATGAATCTGCCTATAATCCAAAATTCAATCACACATTGAATATTTATGGCCTGAGTCAATTTTATAAGAAATTATTACTATTAAACCAATTATTATGATGTAAATATTAGAGATAATTAAGTAAATTAGAAAAAATATAAACATAAAGATAATTAGGGAAAGTGATTGATGATTACTTATGTTTCTTATTGAAAGACTGTGTTCAAAGTAAGTGGAAGAATGTTCTGGACCACAATTCAGTTCAATACAAGGAATAATACATCACTGTCATAAAACAAGTCATGTGTTTCACTAATGATGACAAAATATCTAGTTACTGACACTATTTTTATTTTATTCATTTTTTGTACTTAGTACAGGGATACAGGGTCTCACTGCGTAGATCCAACTTGCAGTGATTCTCCTGTTTCCAGCCTCCCAAGCACTGCGATTATAGGCAGGTGCCACCACACCCAGTCTCAAGCGCCATCTCAGTGCTCCTGGAGGTGGGGATGGCATGGCATGCTGGGGTTCCTGGGGATCAAACCCTGGCTGCTGCACTCTGCCTAAGCAGACACTTTATTCTGCTGAGATATCTGGCTGGCCCTCTGACTATATTTTCTAAGACTTAAAGGAACTCTTTTATCCAACAGAGTCCTTGTGAGTACTCCAGAGTGAGCTAGCAGGAAGAGTTGGGAGCCTAGAGGAAACTCTTGTGTAATAAAATCTTCTACATAAATTTGCCACATGTGAAAAGGTACTAGAATGTCTCAGCTGGAATACAGACAGGTCACGATCTCTATGGCAGGTTCTCTTTTGAAAACACAGGTGTAAGAGTAACAAAGAACCAAAAAACTAAAAACTCCAAAATTCCTTTTGTTAGGGCCTGCCAAATAACTCACTGGATGGGGCTGGAGGTTTGATCCCAGTGCCTGCCGTGTAGGCCGCACCCCTGGTGTGCGGAGACAACAATTAATACTAGGCGTGGTGGCGCACCCCTGAAATCCCAGCTCTTGGGAGGCTGTAAAAGGTGGATCACTACAAGTCTGATCTAGTAGTGAGACCCTGAACACCTTGTAGACCCTTCCCTTAAAAAAAAAAAAAAAAAAATTCCTTTTGTTTTAGCATCTACAGAAAGTTTTAAGTTTTGCGCTTTAATATATTAACTTCTTTAATCATAAGCAAACTTTCTCTCTGAAATGTTATACAGAAACACAAACATTTTTTGCTTTGCTTTTTGTTTTACTGGTGCTAGGAATTAAGTCAAGGCCTTATGAACTTTACCACTGAGGTATACCCTTGACCGCTTTTATTTTGTGATGGAAGAAAACTGCAGTTTAAGAGGAAAAGTTCGTATTATTTAAAAAAATGAAAAACATTTTTTTTTTTTTTTTGTATTTAGTATAGGGTCTACAGGGTCTCACTACGTAGATCAGATTTGTAAGTGTTTCTCCTGTTTTCAGCTTCCCAAGTGCTGGGATTACAGGCAAGTGCCACCATGCCCAGTCTCAATCACCCTCAGTGGGTCCCAGGGGGAGGGCTGGCATGGTAGGTCAGGGGACTGAACTCCTGGTCCCTGGTCTGCCTAACCAGGCACTTTAGTGGAGGGAGCTATTTGGCTGGCCCTTTTGCATTATAATATACCAAGTACATAAAAACTGCCAACTTTAACTTTGATCTCTGGCTGAAAGGGATCATCAACTATTCAAAGTATTTATAGTGCTGGGTGTGGTGACATGTGCCAGTAATCCCAGAAGGAAGATTTCAAGTTTGAGGTCAGTCTGGACAACTTATTGAGGTGCGGTCTCAAAAACTAAAATGAATAAAATTTTTAAAAGAGTTGGGAATATAGTTCAGTGGTGGAGTATTTGCCTAGTATGTGTGATGTCCTGGGTTTAATCCCCAGTACCTCAAAAGTTTATAACCATATTTCTCCTAAGTTCTATTGCTGCTGAAAAAAATACCGATATATGGTCATTATGTGTATCTGTAATGTACCAAAATAAGCTTAACTTACAAAAAAGCTTTTCACCTTTAAAAATAAATAATCCTGTGGGAAATATAATTATGTAAACTAACCTAAAAGGAATGAATAACCATCATCACACTAACCAGAATCTTACATAGCAAAGAACTATAGCATATCTAATACTGGTATTACACAAATACTTTCACGATTTGAGAAGAATTACAAATATAATTTAGTTGATGCAGCAATGGGCATGAACAGAAAATTTAAAAACACTAACAAGTTTTAAATATTCAGGAAATAATATATTCTAGATCTGCTCTGTTAATACAGTAGCAATTGGCCACATGTAGCTATTTATATTAAAATTTAATTAAACATTAAAAAGTAATTCTTAACACTAATCATGCTTCAAGTACTTACAAACTGTAAGTGTTTAATGACTACTGTATTTAAGGGCAGAGAAAAAATAACATTTTTGCCGTCACAGAAACTGTTAGGCAACAGTGCTGGTCTAGACTACCCCAACTATGAACATATGAACAAAAAAGCCCCAAATATTTCAAACTCCAAACTCAGTAATAAAAACAGGGGACTTACCTACAGATTCAATGCGAAAATCAAAACTTAGCTCAGAGGCCAGTTTCTTACTTGATTTTAGTTTTCCTTGTAGATTTACAATTTTTACAAATTCTTAAAAGAAAGTTAAAAAAAACTAAAGTCAAAACTAGAACTATAAATTTCTTAAAATAAGTATAACACGATACATGGATTCTATATCAAATATTAATAAAGATCAATGATTTACTTAAGTATACTCAATGAAATATTAATATGTTTTAGAAGATATACCGTTAGGAATGTCTCCTTGGTAATTCGTTTCTGTCTTTTTACACAGTGTATAATGAACACTAACATTCTTATAACTTAAAGTATTTCTTTAAAAGTGGCTATTTTGCTGCCTACTTAGCAATACCTGTTGCTTTCTTCCTATCAAATTACACAACATCCATTATATTTATCGTAGTTAAAACTTTACTATATGAATTCTATTCTGCAAAGGTACAAGGAGCAAGAGACAGTATTCTTAGGGTTTTTACCCTCTGGGGTGGGGAGTATATAAAATAATTCAACTTCTCTTTTTCCATTTGTTTTGAGTTTCATCATTGTTCACTCAGAGTTGAGAGAGTTTTGCTTATGCATCTACTACCATTATATGAGATTATAGGCCCACTATGGTTCAATAAAACCAACTTATAAACAGTAGAGCTGACAATGAATTTTTAAAGTCTTCTATCCCTTTAAAAAACAAAAATCTCAAGAATATCACTTTCTCATTACCTTAATGAAATGGTAATTAATTAATTAGCAGAGCCTTTTTAATCACTTCTCACCATGAGGGACTGAACTCCGGTCTTTGCAGTGAACATTATCTCTGGCCCTTTAAATTTTTTTAGGATTTTTTTTTTTTGTTGGCAGGCTCAGGCTGCTTGCCTTGAGGGTGGGTGTGCTGCAGCACGTGGTGCTGCGGTGCTGCGGCTGGAACTGCAGTCTCTCCCGCCTGCTTGATTTTGCTCAAGAAGGCGCTTCAGACAACTGCGCTAACCCGCCAGGCCCTCAAACTTTTTTGAGATGGGCGCTCACTAGATTTCTAAATTGCTCAGGCAGGGCTCAAACTTGCAAACCTCCTACTTCAGACTTTCTGATCTCTGGGATTACTGGTATCTGCCACTGTGCCCAGCTGACCAGTGACTTTTGTAAAAATTGTGATAAAATTATAGCTATTACCAAAATGAAAACTCAGCACAATTTATCTTTCTTTGATGACTCACAGGGTATTTAATCTTAAAAGTTCAGCATTATTAAATCTGATTATTTGGTTAACACTAAATTTTCTATTTGTTTGGATAAAAAAGAATCAACAGCTTCCCTTAAGGGTAACTGAGTAACACTCCAATCTTACTAATACAGTATGCAGAGAACCAAGCTTCTAACAAAGGGATGATAGCGAATGAAAGCAGGTGTGTTTTAGTTTACCCATCTGTAATATGAGAGTGATCTTTATGATTCTATAAAGTACAATAAACATGTTAAGACCACAGAGAGATTAGTGCAGAAAAAAATAGCAAAATCAGCAATGAAATAATTTTAAAAATAATGTTGATCACTTATAGGTAAGTTTAGTCACTAAAAACAAACTGAAATAGGCCAATTATAGCAACTACCACCAAATTTCAAATACAATCCTGTCCGGGAGGACTCCATCTTGTAGGATTTACAGAATAATAAGGAGGGTGGGTTTTATGAACTAAAGTGATTTATTTGCAAAATCAAAGTAATATCTACTCCTAAAGCTTTTCTGCCTCTCTAACTGCTCACAGTATAACATACTTCTCTCAGTAAGCATTCCCTATACCAAAAGAATCATAGTTAGCAGGTAAGGATGTCAAATCCATATGTACATTATCCTGGGGGCCAGCAGGATAGTTCAGCAGTCTAAAGCGCCTGCTTAGGCAAGCTTAGGCAAGCCTAGGGACCGCGGTTCGATCCCCAGCACCGCATGCTGCGCCAGCCTTGCTCCCCAGGTGGGCTGAGTTGGACACAAAAGTAAATAAAATAAAATAAAAGACATTGTAAAAAAAAAAATAAAAGAAACGCAGCCTGATACGAACTCCAAAAGTTTGTTTTATGACTTGGTAGTGACTGTGACCACCTACTTTTCATTAAACTTATGCATGAGAGAGAATAGTTTATGCAAATTTTACCACAAGAAATGGCATGTTAAGAGGTATAACAATTCTATTATACCTCCAAGTAGGCCAGGGGAAAGTATCGATAAACAGATTAGTTACTGGTAGCCAATTTCATTTTTTCTTCACAGAATTACATTAATTTTTTTTTTTTTTTGGAGGAACCGGGGATTGAACTCAGATCCTTGCATTTGCCAGTCAAGCGCTTATCCTACTGAGCCATCTCCCCCGCCCCACAGAGTTACATTAAAATAATTATTTCATCTACTATATTAAAAATTCCATTGAGCCATCTCCCCGGACTAATCTAGTATATTAAAAATTAACAAAGTACTTACTGTCTAAACACACTAAAACAGTATCTCTCTCCAATTGTGTCACATGAATGGAGTCTAACTGTTGGCTGCCTGAAGGGAGAAAAAAGTTGTATGACATGCTTTTAATAAACAAGAATAGAAAATAAACACAAAGTGAATTTTGCTGTGATTTAGTTTTGGAAATATAACATAGAAATCATATTTTGTCATATTTTACTCTTCAAAAAGTATGCAAGAATCAGTTAAGGGAAATGGATTTAGGTCCTAACATGGATAAATGAGCCAAGAAAATCTAAACTATTATTATTTTTTTTTATTAACACCTCAGCTAGTTCATAAAAGATGAGTTACAAAAATAAAATGAAGCAAAGAGCAAATATAGGGAACCAAGTAAGGGCACGCCACACAATGGGAGATGGAGACACGATCAGTGGGGAGACTCACAGCAACCTTGAAATAAAAGCCAGTGATTCAACAGAGCACAAAGGTCACTGTAACTCTGATTGGGGAAACTTTTCTAGGTATGTGGGAAGACTTTCCTCAAAGAGGACACTGAGTGGCACAGTGAACAGTACTTTATTTATTTATTGTGGTATTTTAGGGAAGGGTCTATAGGGTGCTCAGGGTCTCACTACTAGATCAGACTTGTAGTGATCCACCTGTTTATGGCTTCCCAAGAGCTGGGATTACAGGTGCGCCCCACCATGCCAAGTCTCAACTGCTGTCTCAGTGAGCCCCGGGGGCGGGGCTAGCATGGCAGGCCCAGGGATCCAGTCCTGCACCTGCAGGCTCTTTTTTAAAAATATTTATTTATTTATTTATTTATTTATTTATTTAGTGTCTGTGTGTGGCCAGCTCAGCCCACCAGGGGGCGGGGCTGGCTGGCATGTGGTGCTGGGGGATTGAACCGCAGTCCCTGTGCTTTGCTTGGCTTAGCTTGTTCTAAGTAGGTGCTTTAGACCACCGAGCCATCTCACCAGCCCACCTGCAGGCTCTTTAATCTGCTATTTGGCTGGCCCTTGAACAGTACTTTAAAGTACTTTAAACAACATTTTTGCAGAATTCAACTTTTTACTTTGCTAGTAGTTAAATGCTGTCTTATTATCTACTAATTGACAGGATGATATTTTTGTAAAACAACTTAAGCACTAAAAATGGTTAAATGAAAAAAAAATGGTTAAATGGTCTTTAGTTCAACTAGGACAAGATTTTAAACAAAAAGTAATTTTTTAAAAAAATTTAATGTATTTGGTTGTTTCAGGGTCTTACTATGCAGCTTGGACTCATAGTGATCCTCCTGCTTTCAGCCTCCCCACCTCTGGGAGTACAGGCATGCGCCACCATGCCCAGACTGTGGCTCGCTTAGCCCACTCTGGAAGTGGAGCTGGTGTGGCATGTGGTGCCAGGGATCAAGCTATGGTCCCTGAGCTTGCCTAAGCAGGTGCTTTAGTCCACTGAGCTATCTCCCCGTCCACAAAACAGTCATTCTTTATACCGCTGGAGTCTATGGGTCACCTCACTTGAAAATGGCCACATTCAGATACATGATATTTTAGGGTACTTACAGAACTTCAAGAACATAACATAGTGAAGAATCCAGGTCTACATAATTAATAAACTGTCTCTAGCAACACCAAAAATAATTATTCTCAGCTCATCTACATTCATTCACCTGAGAATCACCCTTGGAGATGTTGTAACAGTAAAACATGACTGAGACTGTAAGATCCAAAGTAAGAGCTTCACTTCAACAAGTCATTGCCAGTTGCAGGCACAGCTACTTGGTTGAAACCCCTTCTAAGAATGAAAAGTCTGGGGGCCAGGGAGATAGCTCAGTAGGATAAGTGCTTGCCTGGCAAGCACAAGGGCTTGAGTTCAATCCCTGGTTCTGAAAAAAAAAAAAAAAAAAGAAAGAAAGAATGAAAAGTCTAAGAAGGACAAGTCTAAGAAGGACAGAACACAAGGCTGCCTCACCTCTGCCTGAGGATGCTTTCAATGATGCCCTCAGGCAGCATTCTGGCCCTTTCCAGGAAGCAATTGTTACTGTTTCAATTTTAGCCTGCACAACGTTAAAAGGGGGTAAAATAGGATACCTCAGACATTACAAAACAAATAAAAAGCCATAAAAAACCACCCTGACCTCAAACCCCAAAATTCTGAGGACTCAATGCATTTTTAAAAAATCTTTTTTCCAATAAATGTTTAGCTATGAGCAAGGTAACGAATATATAGATGTGGTTGCAAATATATATTACATGATTGTATGCAATGATACACTGTACTCTATATAACCAGCAAAATAAAGTTGGGGCTGCTGGCTAAAAATAATATTAGTGTTTATTTATTATTGTGCTTTCTAAAATTGTTATTACTATTACTATTTTCATGGTAATAATAGAACATGGGTGCTCTACCACTAGCTACATCCCTAGCCCTTTTTATTTTTCATTTTAAGACAGACACCTGCTATGTTGCCTTGGCTAACAGTATATGGGAATCCTTGTGCCTCTAAGTAGCTGAGGTTCTAGGCATACACCATTGCACCTGGATGCCTTTAATTTTTTTTTTTTTTAAGTATGAAGTTCATAACAGGTATTTCCATTTAGACTATTTCTCATGATGATAAAGCAACGTCATTTTATACTTTTCTATTAGCTATTGGATGAAGGAACACATTCAGCTTAACCCATGCTATTCCACAGCAAATTAAAGAAAAAGATGGGTATAGGTATAAGTGGGAAGGTTCTTATTGTACCCTAAATTATGACTTGTTTGAAGGAGGGAGAGAAAGAGAGTGATTTCAGAATCTAGCACATGTTAGAATTGGCTTATACAGTAGCGGGTTGTTAAAATTTCTGGAATTTTTTAAATCATATGAGATCAAGTTGGTAGTTAAAAAGTGGCTGTGGTGGTATTGTTTATACCATAGAAATAGGCAGCCACTGGTTGTACCTACAGACTTGGCTGTTAAAATGTCTGTCACTGGTTCACACTGATTCTCCCCCACCCTGCCTTTTTAATGTGGTGCCAGGGACCAAACCCAGGGCCTTGTACATGCTAAACACATACTTTATCACTAAGCTACATCACCATGCCCCATACTGATTTATGTGGATTCTATATTACATTTGATAGTTGGGATATACAGCAAGTTCTTGAGCTCTAAAACCAAAAGATACTAAGTAAGAACCAAACTTCTAATACTTGTAAGAGATTTCTTTACAAGGTGGTAACTGTGGTCAATAATAAAATGACCACAATTAAAGTTGCCAGACTTCCTATGTTAAAATCCCTAATAAACCTGCGATTACAGATGGTAAAATACACCATGTAGCAAAGAAAAAAATGAAGACACTTTCTCAGTTTACATATTTTGTGAAATGAGAGTTAGAAAATAAACCCTGTAAAATCTGCATTCGCTATTCTGAAACAGACATCTAACTGCTGTTCACACGTTTCCACACTACGCTGCAGGACAACTGCTCCTATCCCACTGCACTTCTCTTCCTATCATCTACTTCTCCAGCCTCTTCCTCCACATGTTTCCCAGCCTCTAGAAACTACCATCCTATTATCTCCTTCCATCAGATCAACTTTTTAGCTTTTACAAGCGAGAACACATCTGATTTTGTGTGCCTGACTTATTTTACCTAATGTAAGGACCTTTAGTTTCATCCCTGCTGTCTGCACATGCATTTCACTCTTTCTGTGGAGGAGTAACAACAGTCCATCACATAAATACTCTTCTTCCTTATCTATTTATTTGCTGGTAGATATCTAGGTTGATTCTATAATCTAGATACTGTGGATAATGCACAACAAACGTGTGTGCAGGTTATCACTTCAACATACTGATTTCATCTCATGTGGATATAAACCAAACAGTGAAGACTGCCGCATCACATGGCAGTTCAATTTCTAGTGTTTAAAATTATCTCCATCCTCTTTTTTTTCTTTTTGCCAGAACCTGGGATTGAACTCAGGCCCTTGCACTTGCCAGGCCAGCAAGCGTTTATTCTACTGAGCCATCTCCCCGACCCCATCCATCTAGCTTACATTCCTACCAACAGAGTTTGATAAGTCATTCTAACTATAGTGAGATGATATCTCATTGTAGTTTTGATTTGAATTTCTCTCAGTGACAATGACTATTTTTTCATTAAAATAAATCTTTGACTTGTTAAAATTTAATATTTGGGAATAAACTTTCCAAATTTTTTCAGAGCTCTCACAGGGATATATCTGATAATCTCCTAGGCTACTTAATCATTCTTAGAAAGTACAATGGATACCTAAATGGAAAAGCTGAAAAATCAAACTTCAAAAACTAATAGTCTGCATCTTGTACTATGAATAACTGCTATGAAGACAATATACAATGTATTATTGAAACTGTCCTACTAATTGGTTTTGAAACTGTCTCATTGCTATTCCTCAATAAATTAAAAAAAAAAAAAACAGAAAACAAACCAAAAAACCCCTTCTAATCCAGTATGAAAAAGCACGTCCTTTGACTACGAAGTGATGGATGTAGACAAGATAGGTTAAAACAGGATAGATAAAAAGGTAACTTTCAGAAGATAATAAAATCCTAAAAATGTAGAAAGTTCTTTTTTTTTCTTTTCATTGTCCCAAATTTATTGACACTACAGAGTAGCAAAGAGATTCAAACAGCTCCATGTGGTGTTTTGAAACTCATCCTGACGGTAGGTTGTGTGACCCACAGGTTGGAAAGGCTGCCAAAGTCCAAAAGCTTCAGCATTTCCTTAGCGTCAAGATCTACTTCAATGATTTCCTGATCCAAGGCTGAGACCTCAGGGACGTAATTATCTCTCCTTTCTCTCTCCTCCTCTTGTAGCTTGATGGAAATACCCAGCACAGGGCCCCTCTGTATCCGCGTCATCAGATGTGTGACACAGCTTGCTACCTTGTTGCGGAGCTTCTTGCTGAGGATGATAGTGATTTTCTCCCACACGCACTTGTTGGTGTGGAAGTCGTTTCCCAGGCACGTATAGTACTTCTCAATGATGATACGGGCTGCCTTCTTCACTGTCTTGGTACAAATGAGGCCCATGTTGGCGGGTCCCAAGGAAAGAGCTAGAAAGTTGTTTACTTGGCAAGTCCAAAGACTAAGCTGGGAAAAATTCAGACCTTTAAATGTCAGTGATCATTAAAATTTTCCTTGGTAAAATAACTAATTTCCCTTGCAAACAGATCACAAACCACACATGTATGATCCTTTTGGCTGACTTGGCAATTAAGTTCTTCAGAAGAGCCCCACACTAATTGAATTTAGGTGTTCTGGTTCTTTTGTATGCAAAAATATCAACAGAGATAAATAAAACAAAACAAAACTTACCTGCACCAATTTCTGTAAACCATGAAGATGCAGAATTCAAATTGATTGTCTCAAACTGAACTACTTGATTTGATTCATTGCCTTTACTAATAGCTACACACACCATAGGGTATTCTTGTTCTGGTATCACCAGCATTTCAAAAACGTTCAAAGGTGTTGGTAAAGGAAAATCAAAGTGCT